AAAAACACCTAGTGCTCATTACATCATGTAATTAATTCCCATCACCCAGTTACCCCATCCGCCTACCCCCTCCCCTTTAGCAACCCTCAGTTCGCTTCCTATAGTTAAGAGTCTCTTATGGTTTGTCTCCCTCTCTGATTTTGTCCTATTTTATTTTTCCCTCCTTTCCCCTATGATCCTCTGTTTTGTTTCTTAAATTCCACATATGAGTGAGATCGTATGATAATTGTCTTTCTCTGACTGACTTACTTCGCTTAGCATAATACCCTCTAGTTCCATCCAACTGTCGTTGCAAATGGTAAGATTTCATTGTTTTTATTGATGGCTGAGTAAGAAAACAGTTTTAGATTGAATGTTGATTCTATAAAATCTTTCTGTAGACAAATTTAAAATGTGTGTGTACCTCTCTATAAAGAGAGAGAGAGGGAGGGGGAGGGTGAGGATGAACCTGTATTTATGTTATACATATTACTGGAATTCTTTTGGGTAATAACAGCACCATTATTGATGACTGCTTGTATGCCAAGCATGGTGCTTAGTACTTTATACACATTACCACCTTCTTGTCCTTCCAGCACATGAAGTGTGTTACTTACCTCCATTTACAGATGAAGAACCTGAGACACTCAGTTATTTTCCCCCAGCAATCCCTAGGTACCAGTGGACCAGACGCTCAGTTCTAACTGCAGTCTGGCTGGTTCCTACTTGGGTACTTTTCATCACAGGCCACGCCACTAAAGCCCGAACTCTCTGTCTTTAGGTCATCACTGAGTGGCCTTCTCACCTCACCCTTTAGACAGCACCAAGAGTCATGGGCAGCAGAGAGAGCACGGCGGCGACAAGAGAGAGAAGAAAGACTGCAGAGAATAGAACGGGAAGAAAGGAACAAATTCAAGTAAGAGGAATTTCAAGATTTTGTAAATAACAAATTGAAAATTAAAGCACGTACCTTCCTGCTCTATTTGATTAATACTGGTCTGAGGGGTTAGGTAGGAATATGTTTGCTTTAGATTCTGCCTCTGTTTTTAAGGAACAGCAAGACATTCCTGAAATGGGCTAGCTCTGGCTTGTTATGGCCTTTTTCCTCTAACCATATGGCAGGAAGCACAGAAAGCCAGCCAAATACAATTAGGAACTTGTGTATTTTGGGGTCCTCCATTATCTAAAATGGTCTTATCCAGGCCTTCCTGAAGACCGAGAGCCTAATTGTCTTAACTTAATTTGTCATTTCCCCCTAAAGCTACTCATGTTTTATTCATATTCTATTGGATGCCAAAAGAAAATGCTTTTACCACCTTCTGGTTTGCTTCTTTGCTCCCTGTAGCAATCTTCAGTGTATTTTTTTGAACAATAATCTCTCCTCCTATGGAGGAGAAAGCCATTCTGACGATCACTCCCAGCCCATTATCCCACTGATCTCTTTGGTCTCCATCCAGCTCTGAGGCTGTGTTCCTGTCACGGCCTGTCCGTCCCTGCTGAATCCAGCATTGCTCTGTTTCTCCTCCAGCTCCAGCCTGTGCACCTGTTCTCCCCCAGCCTCCTGGTCGACCTCCTTCCACTTCTCTCCCCTGAGCTTCGTGCTGTGTGGTGCTCTATGGACACCTGCTGAGTCTTTCCTCACACATTTCATTCCTTCTACTCTTCCTTTCCCTGCTTCCTCTCCTCCTCCTAATCTCCCCCTTTGTCATCTTCCCAGTCATTGCTCCTAGACCTTCTATGTTCTTTCTTGTTTTCTTTTCTCACCCCATCTTCACTTCCTGTTTCCTCGGTTCAATTTCTTTGGCAAACAGTATTCCCTTCAATTACTCCCATTTAAACCCGCAGAGAGTATAAAACATTGTCAGGGAGGATTTACAGGTTCAATATGTTTTTTCAGAACCCGGAAGAGTATGTGTAATTGTAGAGATGGTCAAAATATAAGCAGAGTTATGAAGTTGCCTTAACTGTAACTCTATTACATGGAAACCAATCTCCTAAGTCTTGGGTGAAGTGTGAATCCTGGCTTTTGTAAGGCTGGGTTAATGGCCTGCATGAAGTAAACCAACATCATTCCTCCACTGTGATTGCATGGCATACCCTGAACTGTCAGACTTTTCCCAAATTATACCTGGAAATGCCACACCTGAAATATACACTATTTCTCAGGAGGTAACTTTGGAAGTTGTCGCTTCTGGAAAGACCATTTGTAAAACCACTAGAACAGGTTAAATCCTTCCTGAGCAGGGCTTTCTGAGAGATTTGCATATTTTGCTACCAAGTAGAAGCAGAGAATCTGACAGAAACACTTGAAAGATTCAGAGATTTGTCGACATATATAAGGATTTTGTTGGAAAAACCTATTAAAACTGGGTGCCAGTTTGGGGGAAGATGAAATAATGCATACTCCCTCCTGTCTCTTCTACTTCATCACTGAATGCAATCAGAAATCATGGACGGAATGTGTGGAGCTCTGAAAATTCCATACTGTAAAAGGGAGCAGGTGAACTGGGGACAGAGGCTAGTCTTCAAAGTTCCAAGCCAGTGAGAGCATACCCTTCTTTTCCTCCACTATCACCTTGTGTGTCCTCAGAGGTACCCCAAAACCCAGAAACACATACTAAGTGTGAACTGAAAACTCTGAGAGCCTCTCTTTCTGGACCAAGGAGCAGCAAACAGAGGTCCTAAGAGTCAGAGACTGGAGAAATGTCTTGTTTTTTCATATTTCCCCCCTTTTTTCCTACCCCAGCCTTGAAACTATATTGTTACAGAAGCACAATGATGGCAGCAGTGTCCACAGGTGCCTAAAACTCAAGGAGAACCTTCCTCTGACCAGAGGAACTATGACTCCAAGAGCGCTAGGGAAATCACTATTTTTTTTCTCTGTGTCCTTCTGGCACACTGCAGATGGGTGCAGATGGAGTTACTGAAAGTAGCAGCAGAGCATAGAAGATAAAGCTCAAGCTTTCTGGCTAGAGGAGCAGGAAGGGAGACCCAGGGAAGCCAGAAAATTATAGGAAGGCCACAAAGAGTAGAAAAATCAAGAGAGCACTCCTAGCTCATCTCCAGTTGTGCACATGTAGCTTAAACCCTAAACTACATCACAGACTTTGAGAACTAAATACAGAGTGTCCCAGACTGGCCACTGGATGGGTGCACACAAGGGCTTGATTTGGAGAAAATTAAAAGTATTTGAAAACTGAGCTAATATCAGAACCAATGTCAGAAGGCAGTCAGAACTTGCAGGCTGAACCTAACCTAGTTGATTGCCTGCTAAAGCAAAACCAGATTCTTTATAGAATTCAAGGAAGACCCAGAGTCTCCTTTCAAAATATTTAAAATGTTCTCAATGCAATCCAAAGTAACTTGTCACACACACACAAAAAAAACCCAGGAGAATCTTAAAGGAAAAAGAGAATCAAAATACTCTAACTGCAAAAGGACATAGATGTCATTATCAGACAAAGACTAAAGCAGCTACTATAAACATGTTCTAAGATGTAAAAGCAAATTCTTTTGAAACTAATGAAAAGATAAATCTCTGTAAAGAAGTAGAAGCTATAAAGAAGAACCAAATGGAAATACTTATAGAACTGAGAAATACAGTAATCAAAATGAAAAATTCATTGGATGGGTTCAATAGCAGAGTGGAGATGAGAGAAGAAAGGGTCATTAAACTGGAAGATAGAACAATAGAAATATTATCCAATCCAAAAAACGAAGCAAAACATTAGAAAAAAATGTACAGTCTCTCAGGGACCTATAGAACAATAACAGAATGCCTTGCACTCATATAGTTGAGTGTCCCAGAAGACCAGGACAAGAGTGCATTGTACTATATATTAAGCTGTCTGCCTGTCTGTATGTATGTATGTAGGCAGAGACTGTACTTGTAACTATCCACTATTTGCTCTTGATCCCAAGTGGGTCTCACTTCTCATTTAAGACACAGAGACATCCTGGCAAAACAACTCTGTCCAAGAAGGAATGTTGGTCATCAGGACAGACTACATACAGCTATTAACTATGATGACTGTAGTTCCATCCTGAAAGTCTTAGGACGTGAATGAAAAGAAATTCAAAAAAGGAAATAGGAAAAGCTTTATCAAGTAGTCCCTGGGATTACTCAAATGGCTGACCTTTCTTCAGCCATTTTATTAAGTTACTCAGTCTTCTTGTGCTTTTTCCCTTGCAAAGCATCCTTATCTGTTGTTATTTTTGTTGAATATGATCTTAAGCTTCCTGGGTTCTAATGTGGAAAATGATGAGGACAGGTGCTTATAAATGATAACAAATCCGGGTCTTTGCTAGTTTTCTCCTTCTCCTGCTTTAATTGCTCTGGCTTACTGTCCCTTCATATCCTGTTACCAGTGCATGGAGGGGTAGAATACTTAACTACATTGTGAGATATGGTGTAGAAAACCATGAAGTCATAATTTTTCAAGAAAATAAGTGGTCCACTGAGAAGTGGCTGATCTTAAGTCTTAAACTTAGATTCAAGCTGGAATCTCATCAACTGGAGCAGGACAACAAACATTAAAATTGGACGAAGTTTGGCATTTTGTGAGTGCAAACAAGAAAATGTACAAAGTAAGAGCTTCCCATGATCCCTGCATAGAAACTGGCAATGTGAAGGGTGAAGAGAAAGAATCCTGCACTGTGGGATGAATGTCCAAACTGTGGAGTGCCACACAAAATGGCCAAGATGCCTGGACCCACCCAGATTTAATTCTGGAGATGGAAGTTGTGGAGCCTACCAGAATTTGATTGGATGTTAATAGTCTCTGAAAGCTATTGCTTGCTTGCAATTGCCATATGTTACTTGTGTGTTGTTTGACATTTTAAAAAGTTTTCTCTTCTCCCCTCTCCCCCATATACCTAAATTCTTCTTTCTTTAATTGTAGTCTTCCATGTTCTCATCCCTGTGATTTTATAGGAAATCCATTATATTTAGTACTTTTAAAGTGTAGCCTTTGTATTTGTTGTTGTTGTTTTTTTTAAAATCCAACACAACCACTTTCCACGTCTGAGGCAATAAAGTCTTTCATGATACACTGTCAATAATTTCTTGGCAATTTCATGAGCATCTAATTCTGTTATTTTCCTTCCCTATTTTGTTTCTCCTGCATATTTCCATTAGCCGAGAGTATTTAGACAAAAGAGAGGAGCAAAGACAAGCAAGAGAAGAAAGGTTTGTATATTTCTTCTTTCCCATTACAACCGAATGTCACTTGACTTTGCATTCCTCACCAAGCATGCTAAGGACACTGTGTTAATTAAAATAAATAGCTTCACTTAAGACATCTAAGACTTTGGGGGTAACTGGTGTTTTGTGGAATAGAGTGTCTTAGTTATCTAAATTTTCCAAGAAAGTACAGATTTTGTATGGGTGCCATCATGGTGTGAAATACATGTCTGTTCCTCCAGACTCCTCTCCACATGAGCACATTAGTTTAGCAGATTGACATATGGTATATATTTTAAATACCCTGCACCACCACCACTGAGCTTGGGGTAGGTGTCCCTACTGTGTGCCTCTAGGTCGCTCATTCAGCATTCCTTTAACAAATATTTGAAGGTGCATACTATGCCAGGTGCGGACTGAGGTGCCAAACGTTCCTGAGACTCTTGCAGGATATGTCTGAGCACTTGCCTGTCTCCCTACTGAACTGTTCTCAGTTCCTAGGCGGCAGGACCCATGTCTCACTTTCCTTGTTGTCACAGTGCCCTCCACAGTGCCTGGCCCAGAGCAGGCACTTAGGAAGGATAGATGGAATAAATGAACAAATGAACCCACAGCTTTATTTAGAATATTAAGCTCTGAACTGTTTTGTTCTTTCAATGGCACCATGCTTTGAATCCTACTAAAATATCCAAAGTGAATGTATTCAATGTCTGATAAACTAAGATAAGCAAGAGAGACTGTTTTTGGAAGTAAACCAGCAAAGGACAAGTTTTGACCCTGTAGCAATTCCCTCTACCACCAGATGGCAATAGTACATGGAGCAATGAAAAGGCTGATTTCATACTAGAGCCGGTGGGGAACCTCATCGTCTGTGAACTATGCCAATAAGTGGAATTTTGCTGAATTGTCTTAGACACCTTCAGCTAAATAGTTCAAGACAGTCTGAGGGCAGGGAAGAGTGGATGGAGTCTGCCTGTGACCAATTAAACAATTAGATCCTTAGGTCAGACTTATAAACAAAACTATGGCATTGCTTTAATTCCAGTGTTTTATTAGATTATTGCCATCATAATAACCAGTTGTGGCCAGCAAATTTAGAGTGAAAGAAACAAGGAACTTCTTTTTTCTAATTCATACCCATTTTTGACTTTGGAGGACATAGACTTTTACTGAAAATGCTGTCGACTTCATGCCCAGGCTTAAGATACCAAATTTTATTTTTTAGCTTTCCCTCCAGATTCTGCATTTTTTTTTTTTTTTTTTTTGCGCTTTTGACAACTTGAGTTAGGTATATCTGCACAAGCAAGGCTTGAAAGCTTCTGGGGAGATATCAAGGCCTGTACTGGCTCAGACTGACCTCAGAATTTTCCCAAAGGATTGAAGCCTCCCTCTTTCTGGATAGCAAAGCACAGCATCACTTATGCCTGGAAAACCTATGCAGAGGGGTGTTTGCCACTTGTCTCCTGGCTCCTCTTGTTCTGACATCAGTTCTTGCCCCATGCCACCCATCTGTCTGGGCCTTCTTCGCTGGTATGGGAGTGAGCTCTCCATGGCCTCATGTGGGCCCCATCTCTGCTTACACGGAGGGTTATGAAAGCAGCCAAGAATTTCCCTTTGGCTTGGACCAGTCACTTTTCTTGGTTAGTTTGCTTCTTGAGTTACCTGGTGAAGAAGGGAGAGAGGGATATAAACTTTTGTCCCTGTTTGGAAAGCTGTTGGGGCTTCCTGGTAGACCAGGAAAAGATAAGCTTTCCAAGTATAATGGGATTCAGAAATGGATGGGGAAACTGGAGATCAGAGGTGGAAAGAGATTCAGAAATAAGAGGACTCCATAGAAAGTTTTTTTTTTTTTTTAACATTTATTTATTTGAGAGAGAGACAGGGAAGGGGGAAGGGGAGAGGGAGAGAGAAACTTAAGCAGACTCCCCACTGAGTGCGAAGCCCCACAGGGGGCTCAGTCTCATGACCCTGAGGTCACTACTGAAACCGAGAGTTGGATACTTAACCAACTGTGCCACCCAAGCGCCCCCAGCAACTCTTGGTAGAGCCAGGTGCGTTTGTTGGGTCCCATGTCTCTTACTCTAAATGCAGTGACTCAGAGAAACATGGCCAGAGTCACAGCAGAGGGTTTTCTGAGGTTTGTAGTATAACAAGGTGAATGTGGTTTTGCTATTTTGAGGTGTAATAGCCATCCAGGCACATTTGATTTTATTTTGATTTATTTCCTATTATCTCATTCCATAATCTCAGGTTATGGAATGTCAATCTCTGAAGATGGTGCAGACCCAGAGTAAGATTCTTCTGTTCAGGTGGTACTTCTGATTTTTTTTTTTTTTTTTTTTTTTTTGGTATTAGGAGAAAGGCTTTATCTGATCATGATTAAGTGACATTCACAAATAATCTTTTGAAAGGAATAAGAAGGAACAAGATCCAGGCTGAACACATGTTGGGGTGAGGTTGGGGCAGGGATTCGTCTAAGGTGGGTGGCATAGGAAATGCCTGTGACAAGTGGGGGTTACGGGAACACAGTGCAAGGGGAAGGTCAGGACTGGGCTAGGGTTGGAGAAATGATGCATAAAAGTGATGAGTGAAGCAGTAAGGGAGGATTCTGAGCATGGCTTAGCAGGTCTGAGGACAGAGTAGAACTGAGAAGGAGCCAGATTTCGGTTTAATGTAAGAGAGAGTTCATAAGTAGGAGAGTGGCAGGAAGAGTCATCAGTAAGTAGGTGTGGGTTAATCTCAAGTCAAGCAGTTTCTATAGGGCCCTATATATGTTCCCTCGACTGTCCTACCAGCCCCTGCAGCCCATGACCTTGGCGGATGTGTGAATTCATTCCTCAGGTTTGTTTGCCTGTCTTTCCCACTGAACTGTGAGCTCCACGAGGGTGGGGGTTTTCTTGTTTATTATAAAATCTCTAGTACCTAAGGCAGCTCTTAGCACATGACAGGCACTCAACAAATGTTCAATAAATAATGAAAAGAATGAATAAACAAAAGATACAGGCAGAGATGTTTAGATGAAAGTGGGAAAGGTGAAAAGTCTCTCCTTGAGGCTGTGGTCTGTGGATGGAAAACCCAGGGTTTGCACACAGGAAACTTCAAGAGAGTCTATCGGGTAAAGCCATGGGGACATACGATCGCCCTCTCGTGGGCTGCTGGGCTCCTGGGATCAGGTACTGTTGGGCCTCTCCGGGCACTCAATGTGTCTGTAAGAGAAGGTTGTCACCTAGGGCGAGCTGCTTCTGCAGGGACTACCAGAGGTCGACATGGGTCAGGAGAGGTTGTGAAGCTGTACAGCAGTTAATGCCAGGTGGCTTAGCCCTTCCCAGGCTCTCTGGCCCATTGCACATGGATACTGACCCTGCTCTTCCACAAAGATTTAGTCATTTTTTAATTTTATTTATTTGACAGAAAGAGAGGCAGCGAGAGAGGGAACACAAGCAGAGGGAGTGAAAGAGGGAGAAGCTGACTTCCCACTGAGCAAGGAGCCCGATGTGGGGCTCGATCCCAGAAACCTGGGATCATGACCTGAGCCGAAGGCAGACGCTTAACGACTGAGCCACGAGGCGCCCCAGATTTAGTCACTCTTGACCTCGGTGCCAGCCCCCCGTCCCTGCCATTTTTTAAATGTCTTTAATTGTTGGGGGGGGCGGCGCCTGGGTGGCTCAGTCCGTTAAGCGTCTGACTCTTGGTTTCGGCTCAGGTCATGATCTCAGGGTCATGAGGGTCCATGCTGGGTGTGGAGCCTGCTTAAGATTCTCTCTCTCTCCCTCTCCCTATGCACCCCCCCGCCCCCACTTGCACGCACATGTGCACACTCTCTCAAAAAAAATAAGTAAAAATAAAAGTCTTAATTGTGGCAAAATACACATAATGTCCAATTTACCATTTTAACCATTTTAAGCATACAATTCAATATTGGTAGGTATGGTCACATTGTTGTGTGACCATCTCCAGAACTCATTTCGTCTTGTAAAACTGAAACTTGATACCCATCAAACAAGTCCCCAGGCCTTCTCCCCTGCCATTTTTGTCTACCAGATGAGTGGCCTCAGAAGATTTCCTATTAAATCCTTGACTCTTCCCATGTCCTCTGGATCCTCTATGGATGACATCTATGAGGCAGAGGGTGTGCAGGAAACCCTTGAGTCCTGTCTATCCAGACCGTGGATGAACAATCCCTGGCATCCCCTGGAAAGTGAGGTGAACCCCACATCCCTGCTAGTCTGGCTGCCTGCAGGTTGGGGTGTGGAGAGGCCAGATCCAGCACTGGGCCACCAGAAATGAAGGTCATAAATGGCTTGTCCTCTGGCCTGAAGCCTTGGACCTTTGTAGGTTTCCTTGTCTGCACTCCATTTCTGGGCCGCCCCTTTCTCCTGTGGCAGAAGGCTTGGGCTCAGCGTGGGGATACCTCCCTCCTCCCTCCTGGGCTCTCAGCATTGCTGGCCTGAGGGTGCCACCACCTCATTTAGAACCTGCCTCCCGTCGGGACTCTGAGCCTTGCCCTCATGGTCACTTTCTTCCAAGATTCCGCAGCCAGGTGGTTTTCCTTGCTGGTCCAAGTTCAGAAACAGCTTCCTTTTGTTCCCTCTCCTACCTTTTGAGAGGTGACATTGTTGGTGAGGAAAGTCCAGAGTTTCTAAAGCTTTCTGTCTGGGAAGAGTTCCCTCGCCCTGTCACCGTGAGGCAGCCGCTCTCCAAACAATGCCCCAGACATTTGTGTGTGCAGACCCATCACGCACCTTTATCAGCAAGTGAGAGCGATGCATTTGCCACCCTGGGCCTCCAGGTGCTGCAGGGAGACCTCTGCAGGTGGGGTGCTGCCTCCAAGGCTCCTCGCCGCACGCTTTGCCTGCTTCTCCTCCGCCTGGCAAATGCAAGGCGCCGAGGGAAAGAACAAAGGATGCTAATCTTCTGTTCTCAGAAATCCTATTATCTGCTTGTTGAGAACAGACACACACATGTGAAAAGATGACTAAATATGCCAGGCAGTAAATGTAAAATGCCATCTGAGTTGAATGGACTACATATCCGACATGAGTTCAGAGGCAAGGCCAAGATCACTTCCAGCTGTGGTGGTCAAGGCAGGCCTCGCGGAGGGAGATACGCATGTGAGCCTGGCCTGCAGTGCAGATTGCCTTTGGCCTGGCAGGGAGAAGGGGTGAGGACCGCGGACAGACAGACATGGGGGAGCCACACCCACCTTATAGATGCATGAAGAAATGCATGCTTTTTCAATGCCGCCTTTTTAAAGGTTTTATATATGCGCTCTGCCTTTCTTATGCGAGTGAATTCGGAATGCTGTGTGCAGCGTCTGGTGGGGGCTCCGGTGGGCTAGAGTTGGGGGGCTTGCCCATTGGGAGGAACTGAAGCAGTGAGTCTGGATGGATGTGAGTGAGGGTCTTGAATAACCTGTCTCAAAGTTTAGTGGTTGGTGAGATAGAAACCTGCTCCAGCTGAATTCAGAAATTTATTTCTGAACAAATAATGGTAAAATTAGCAGACATCTGGAAGAGGCACATATTTCAAAGTTATTTTGGTCTGATCTATAAAGCGCACTATGAGGAATATGATTGGTAGCTGGTCTTAATAAACAGTGAGTTCTGCCTGCCTGAAATGCAAAACAGATGTATCTTTGTTCTTTTAAACTGACTTTGATGAATAAACTATATGTGACGTCAGGTCCAAGCTATTGGATGGCTGAGTCCTACTCAGAAATATTTTAGAATATAAAAAAGTTTCCATGGTCGACACTGAGAGAACAAAGTGAATTCCAGTCGCATTGCTGTTAGCATTGAAGCAGGTTCAGAAATTCAGGGAGGGCTTCGTCCAACAACCCCTTTTGGTATTTTGGGGGCATTGTTTCTCTCCACCGCACCAAGGCACCCTCCCATCTCACAGCTGCAAGCTCTGAGTGCGTGTGGTTTTCAGCTGTCATTGCTGGGGCTCTGTAATGGGCATTACTGCTGTTTTGCTTATTTGTACACATGTTTCCTAAAAGAGCAAAATCGGATTCTGCAGCAGTGATCCAGTATCTGGAGACCGTGTGATGTTGCCATTTCTCCCAATTTGTTTGGTTATGAATGATGCGGGGTTTTTAATCACTAGCATCTTGGCTTTGCTGGCTGTTTTTGGCAGACTGGCTCTCCAGCCAGCCCTGTGCTGTGCTCTGTGCATCAGGAGACCAGCTCACTCTGCAGGTGTTTCAGCCATAAACAAGCATCGGCCACGGGCTCCTCTTTGTTTTTACGGAAACCCTTTGGAATTTAACTTTCAGATACAAATACTTGGAACAGTTGGCAGCCGAGGCGCACGAGAAGGAACTGAGAAGCCGGAGTGTGAGCCGGGGCAGAGGTGACCTCTCCCTGGACCTGACCTCCCCGGCAGCCCCTGCCTCCCCCACCTCTCTGCGCAGGAGCCCTCCATCTCCAGACTCACAAGAGGCTCTCCCGGGAGCCGCCTCCTCTCCGGGAACAGCTCAGCATCCCCAAGGTGAGTGCTGGGATGGTAGAGGGAACTCTGATGGGGTAATTTGTGTTAGGTTTCTGGGCAGTAGGGACCAGTGCTACGTGCAAAGTGGTACCGAGTAGTAACTAAGGGTAAACTCAGGGCAACTGCACCACACTAATAAACCGGCTGCCTTCAGAGCCACTTCTGTTAAAGCAAAATTATGTGTGAAGATTGTCAGTGCATTGACAATTCTCAATTGTCATTGAGAAGGGAGAATATTGAAAATAAGGCTTACTTGGCCATTTCTTCCTAAATCACAGGGTATTAACTTAGTACCCTATAATTTGGACATTATTTATTTATTGGCTCTGCCCAGTAAAGCGACCACTTTAGAATGTTCTGACCTTAGGAATTATGGGTCTGTTTCCAATTAAACCGATGGAGAATAAAATTAAAGCAAGCAAGGAAAAATGCGGACTTAGTGGAAATAGAAGTTAAACACTGAAGCAGGAGAAAGGGAAGATAGTAGCGATCACTGGCGTGTGTGGTGGCGGTGTAGACGCTTGTGTGCAGACAGACAGGCTCTCCCTGGAGAAATTGTCTGTCATCTTAGCTTTATTTGGAGAAAAACAGTGTTGTGCACTGCAGCCTGAGAGCATCAGCTGTTTTCCTGATTGCTCTGAGGATGGTTGGGTCCGTTTTCTCTCACATTAACAGAGAGGATGGGTCTCAGGCACTGCCGTCTACACTGCGTGTTGATGAGCCTGCAGCTAGCACTGTTCAGTGTGACCGGGTGTTATGGCTTGCAGCCTGACCGAGGCTTAGCCAACGGAAGGCAACAGAGAAGCTCAACTTTTAACTCTCAGAGGGCTGACTAAATATGGCGTCAAGTTTGATTTCAACAAGGCAGGACTGCATGAACTCAGCAGAACTGGATGTAACGGAACAGTCTTGTCTGTCCAAGTCTTCGCTGGCTCTCCAAGCCTTGGGGCTCATTCTGCAGGAAAGGCTGGCTTCCCTGCGGCTTTCTATCACGTCCAGTTCCTGCTGGTCCCTGAGCCGTGGAAGATTGTCCCGGGCAGATGGCTCGGTCATAGATGAGTAATGTCGGTCTGAAAATCCTGAGACTCGAAGAATCAGGAAAACAGACTGTTCTAGGACAGCTCTGTGCTTTCCAGACCCTGCCTGGTATCCCTGCTCTATCTGAGTTGTGGTATTGCCAGAGGCGATATGAAAAACATTCCCCTGCAAAGTTGTGGTTCAGCACTTAATCTTGGGACTTTTAACTCTAAAAGTTGTACCCTCTCCAGTTTACAGAATGGTTGTCTAAACTGGGAAATACACAGCGGCCCCAAGCCGAGAGAGAATTGTCAGTATCTATAAAAATTGTCCTCAAAACTTTTAGTCCTCTTGATGTTTGTGATGAAAAGGCAGTTCCTTGAGTATTTTGCCCAGTGATGGTCAAACTTGAGGCTGTTCTAACCAATTAAAAAGGCAGAATATAAGAAAAAAAAGAAGAAGAAGATAGCAGGAGGGGAAGAATGAAGGGGAGTAAGTCGGAGGGGGAGACGAACCATTAGAGACGATGGACTCTGAAAAACAAACTGAGGGTTCTAGAGGGGAGGGGGGTGGGGGGATGGGTTAGCCTGGTGATGGGTATTAAAGAGGGCACATTCTGTGTGGAGCACTGGGTGTTATGCACAAACAATGAATCATGGAACACTGCATCAAAAACTAATGATGTAATGTACAGTGGTTAACATAACAATAAAAAAATTATTAAAAAAAAGGCAGAATATACTTTTTTAAAGATTCTATTTGAGAAAGAGAGCAACTGAGAGAAAGAGAGAGCACAAGCATTGGGAGGGGGAGAAGCAGACTCCCCACTAAGCAGGAAGCCCAGTACTGAGCAGGGAGCCCGATGTGGGACTCGATCCCAGGACCCCATGATCATGACCTGAGCTGAAGGCAGATGCTTAACCAACTGGGCCACCCAGGTGCCCCAAAAGGCAGAATATTTTAAACTTCAGGAAGAACACAGAAAATACTTCTCTGGGGTACCTGCAATATGCGTTGGGGGAAAATAAAGTTATTTCAGTATGCTTTCAGAAAGATTAATAGTAGATGTCATTTTCCTCTCCAGAGAAGGGACTCAGACTGGGAGAATGTTTGACTGAAATCACACCACACGCATATGAAATAGGAACACTGGGCTTGAAATGAGACATAATTACAAATTAATGAAATGGCATTGTATGATGTTTGCTTTGTCCAAAAAAAACAAAGCAGTGGTTCTTGTGGAACCCGGGAAAGCTGTCCGTCATACATTAAGTAATTATCCACATCAGTCGGAACCAGCAAAGTAATCTAAAGTCTGTGTCCTCATACATCACTGAATTACACAATTGGCAATTGTAAGTGTATAAGAAGAAATGCTATGAGAGGCCTGTCTCAGAAAAGTGCTGAGACTTCCTTCTGATTTGGAGACCTCTGCCCTTATGGCAGAAACACAAAGTTGGACTGGCAGCAAGGTTTTTCTCAGCCTAGCTTGCTATTGTTCTCTGAAGCATTCTGCTTGATTCATTCCTCCAGTTCATAGTCTGTTCTTTTTACTAGGTCCCATTTTTAAAGGCTCAAAGTAATTTTTTGCTTACCCCTAACATTTACAATATCCCAACATCTGGGGGAAGAATAAAAAAAAATCAAACCACACATCCAGATGTTTATCCTGCTCCAAACACCTGGCACTCTGTGGTCCAAACATGCCCAGGTTGACTCACTTTTTCGTTCTCTCTGCTTGTGGAATCATGATGATCATCTTCACACTTGTGTAGTGCTCTGTCCCTCCCTCCCAAATGCTACTGTTTAACACCTCGGGCATCTGAGGAAGCTGAGGGGAGATGTGACTATCCATATATTACTGAGACTCAAATAAATGGGAAGGGGCACCATTGGCAGATCTTGTTGGCACCATCCCAGGGAGTAGAACCCATCTTTTCACGCTCAGCTCAGGCACTCATCAGGACGTCATGGCACCCCAGTATTTGTGGCGGTGTTCACATGCAGGCCACACCATCTCTTTCCTTCGACCCCTTCGGCAATATCTGCATACACTGCGGCCTACATTTCAGAGTTATGTTTGCAAAGAAAAGGAAAAACAGATATTTGTGACTGAATTATATATATCTTGGGATTAAAGGTCACTTTATGGGTTTTTTATTAAAGATTCTGGAGAATTTTTAATAACAGAAGATAGGAAAACATTAAACACTTCTTTACCTTTTCTCTTACAAAATATATTTAGAAAGAAGGCAGGGTAAATGTTAAAATACCAATAGCATTATGTGCCATCTAGTGAGATCTTTCAGCCAAAAAACTTGCCAGCTAAATCTGCTGTAACTTTTGTATAACTTAAGCCACTACCCCCACCATCAAGTCAGTGTGTGCTTGAATTATTTTTCCATCTGGCCCTCTTGTGGCTCACAGCAGATGTGTGTCCCAGTACTGCCTAGACTTCATGGTGATGGTCTGAATATTTTTCCTCTGTGTGAAACTACCAAGCCCAAGTGAGGAACAAACACATACATGTGTTCTCACTTGCAATGTGCTGCAATTAATGGAGATAATTCAGCCCCCAATTTAGGTAAACACGAAGGGCCTCTCTCTTCATGGCTTTAATTAGCCTTTCCTTATTTTCACTGAGCCCTGGTAGTATAGATCAGAATATCTAGTAAGTTTACTTTCTATTATTGTAAGAAACTCACAGATGTCTCTGGAAATAAGTTATTCTCACTAATTAGAGAAAAAGGTTCAGTATTCTTATTGGAAGAGAGTTCTTTGCTATGACTCTTGAGGAAGTTACTGAGGAATAAAAATAATCTGTGTGCCCACATTGAGATCATTTTAGCCAAGTAAGCTATTATCCTAGTGGGTGTCAGATCTACATAACCTATTTCATGGAAAGAAAATGGAGAAACCATGCATCTCAAAACCGGGTGTTGAGGTTGGTCCCTGCCGGGTGGCCCTGTTTAAAAACCGCCTTTCCTGGAGGCTAGCGCTGGGTGGCTTTCTTGTACCCTGGCTGATACACCTGCGTCCAGCCCAAGGCTAAGTGGAGAGAAATTACCTTTCCCGTTCAAAAGCAGTTAGTGTCCTGAATTCACAAGTGGCTTTTACCCACTGATGCAGCTATGAAAGCATACATCGTGGCTAGGTTATTTTTCTTACTTTTAGCTCGGTGCTCTCTACATTGCACACAGAATACTTTAGAGATGCATTTGAAAACTTCACCACACCATATTAATTTTATGTCAGGGAAAAATATGTTCAATGGTGATTTTTTTTTTCCCCTCCCCGTACCTGGATTCCTAGATATTTCCAAATGTCTTATTGTTGGGCCTTAGAGATATAAAATATAACCTACATGGCCATGGCCTACTCACCAGCATTCACCTGGAGGCATTTACAGAAATTACTGACAAGCTGTCCTGATATTTTCGCTCACAGATCCAAGCTTTTAAAAGTGCTGGTAAATAGGACTCTTCCTCATCCTCTCGCCTGGAAATAAAATATAGACCTAGAGTTATATCCTGAAATGTTCCATTGGCTTAAATGAATAATCATTTTTCACATAGGCATCGTTCATCATCACAGCTGTTGTCATTGTTACCAGTCATTGAGCACCTTTGTCACCTTGTGTGACATGTTTTAAGTCTCCTTCAGGTGTAGACACTCTCCTAAGTTACCCAATCCGGGTGGCAGAAATCAGAAACATCTGGTATCCTGTTTCCAATTGGCACAGTAACAATGGACTATCGTCAGTCATCAGCCTAATGCATCCTGGTTCCCTTGCATAACGCTTTTGGACACCTCCAGTCCCGTATTTCATGAATTGGCAGGAAACTAGATTCCTTGTGGTTCTGTGACTCAGGGCGGCCCCACCTCCCCACACCTCACCTGACTGCTACAACTTGATGCCATTTGGTCAGTTAGACAAAATCTCTCAGAAACTCTACCCAAGGCCAACACCTGCTGTGGAACTG